ACCTCAGGGCACAGCGCCCTGGAAGTTTGTTCTTGCTGCATTCGAACTCGACGGCAGTGAATCGCAGGGTGTGGTGCTAGGGTCATATTCGTGTAGAAGCCGTGACGTGACAAGGCGCCAGAGTGCCTCTTCCTGCACACCCCACAGGGAGCCACTTCGCGGCCACCGTGCCCTTGGGAGCCTGGGTTGCTGTGGACATTAGCAGGGGGCTTGTGTGTGTGGTGCCCAGTGGGCATCGTTTTCCCTTCCACCGCCAGGGCTTGCTGCGCAGCTGGCCGATTCAGTGAGCCTTTCCCATTTCACATGTGCCCCGTCCTCGGGCTGCGAGGACATTGTCAGCCTGAGGGAGAGTCATTGAGAAATATTAATAAGAAGCCCCAGGGGACTTCCTCCTACCACTGCCACCGCGGTGCCAGGTTTCCTGGAAATGCCACAGAGGAGTGCCTTAGCCTCCGCTCTGCTGGCTTGTTAACTGTCACCTCCCAGAGCATGGCAGTTCCGGCGTGGCTGCACTGGACCTGCCCGTCCCTGGCGCCCGTGCCAGCTTGCATTGTCCTGGGATTTCAAGGCTCTGTCACCCCTGTCACACGGGCACAGGAACTATGGTCCCTGGCCTGCCAGGTGCCAGCCAGAGCTGCCTCCAGCCTGATGGGTTCCCAGGGGAGATGCCGTCCACAGTCACTGGCAGGGAGTGGAGGGGAAGGCAGCCAGGCCATGAGCCATCTAAGGGGGGCTCCCGCTGGTGGGAGGCCCTTTCTCAGGGAGGGTTGGATGTTGTCTTGCCACTAACGTGTGTGGGACTCTGCTCAGCTTCTTACAGCCTTGATCTCACCATCAGAGTGGGTGTTTGCCTCTGACCCCTGCAGCCCCTCCCCGTCCACAGAAGCTCCTGTCTGTGGCCCTGAGTAGGAGTCCCTGATGAGGGGCCAGGCCACTGCGCCACAGAGTGAGGGCCTCGGCTTTTCCTGTGAACCACGTGGTGCCGGAAGGTGCCGGAAGTTCTCACCCGCTCCCTGCCTGCTGTTCTGTCACCCCAACCCTGACTCTGGGCTGAGAGGGAGGAAGTGCTCCCCCCTCCCGCCCCCTCATGCGTGTCAGACTGGACCTGCTCCTTGGGGCAGCTGGATCCAGTGTGAGCAGCCCTGGCTGCAGGTGGCAGTGCCATGCATCCAGGCCGGCAGCTCCCTGCCGTGGTGATGTGGGCCCCTTGCGGAGGGCCCCCCAATACTTTGGCAGGGCAGGTGTTGGGCTCTGCCCGAGGCCCCAGGCTGAGCAGCACGAGTGAATGAGGCTGATCTGTGAGCAGAGCGGCATGGGCTCCTGGTCAGGGCTCACCTGTTAGGAGGCCGCCTGGCCACAGGCCTCAGTCTCCGAGAACATGGGACAGAGACCTGAACCAGACTGCAGCTATGGTCACAGTAGAAGGAGGTGCAGGCTGTAGGGTCCATTTATTATTTATTTGTATTTTTATTACTTTTGAGAGAGAGAGAGAGAGGAACATGATCGGCAGCCTCCCGCCCCCGCCCCCTACTGGAGATCGAGCCTGTAACCCAGGCATGTCCCCTGACTGGGAATTGAACCAGCGACCTTTCAGTGCAGGGGAGACGCCCAGTGAACTGCGCCACGCCGGCCGGGCCTCTCAGGCTTCTTAAATGGCCAGTGCTGTGGTGACAGTTCAGCATTTTGTTGACATCCTCATTTTACAAATGAGGAAACTGGACATCTGAAGTGGGTGACTTGGCCTGGCCTCCGGGGAGGGTGGCGGGAGAGCCATGGGGAACCCAGACCTGGGCGCCCCTTGATGGGGAGCCTCAGGCAAACTCTGGCAGGAAAGATGCAGGCACTTGGCCCTCTTGACAGCCCAGGGTCGATGTGGGAGCCACG